GTTGTTAAAATCTAAAGTTGCAACTGTGTTATTTAATGAGCTAACATGAACTAAGACTTGGATTTTTTAAACAAAGATTAATAACTTCTGTAGCAAATGTAGCTATTGCTCATTGTGAATGTTAATGCATTAACTAAGGTTAACTAATGAGGTCTTATTGTAAAGTGATACCTATTGGTCTTTATAGTTCTTTTGCACTTTAATCTGTGTAAAACTTTTAACTTTATACATTTTTCTGTATTGCTTTATTGCATTTAAATGTTCAGTTATTTTTGTTATAAGAAAAAAGTTATTAACCCTGTTATACTGTATTATGACAGCACTTTTTTAAAACTAAATTTCAATATCGTGATAATACCGTATACCGTGATAAAAGCATTAGCAATGAATCGCAACATGAAAATTTGATACCGGCATATCCCTAGTCAAGAAACGAGAAGGTTTAAGGGATCCCTGCATTTTTTTTTGGTCCAAATAAGAGCTTCATGATTTTTACATTCCACAAATTAAGTCCGCAATAATTATTACAATTGTAATTTTACATTCTAAAATAATGATAACGATAATGATATACTTTTTTTGTTTTTACAGTGAAATATTAAAATAGTAATATTAGTAATAATAATAATATTATTAATAATAATAAATATTATATATTATACATATTCTATCTATCTATCCATCCGTCCATCTATCTATCTATCTATAATTTTATAGTCATATTGATGCAGTATAATCACAACATTTTGGCCTAATTGCACAGCTCCACAAACAAGCACAGCAAGTTTTTTTTTTTTTGTTAAATAACATTTTAATTATTGCAATTATATGTTTTTCTGATTAGTGATTAGTATTTTTTTTCTTTTTTTTATATATATATTTTTTAGATATTTTTGTATTTTTATTAGCATATTATTTTTTAAATAGCATAATGACATCATGTGTGTTTTTTTTTTCCTTTTAATTTAAATCACTGCTGTAGCCATACAGTTTCTGACATCTTTGGATTTTGCAGCGGCTCTTGCACTGCTTTTTGAGTGTCCTGCCACGAGTGTTGTATTTTTAAGACTGCATGAAGTGAAAAATTCTTCAACCTTTGAAAGCACATCTGCGAATCCCTCGAGCTCCAACTAGTTGATTTTGAAAATTTGTAATTTTTTCACATCCCTTGATCTGTTCTGCCCAAATAATTCTCTGGAACACTTTGTTCAATATTCTCTTTAACTTGACAAGATTCGAGAGTTTGTGAAGGCCTGTTTTGCAAGCTGCAGTCGGTTCTCACGTCTGAACCGCAGACTCGATTGTGTCTCTCTTTGATGTTTTTGTGTTCTTTTGTGTTGATGTTTTCTGTTCTTATTCTTCAATGCAGAGGCTAATTACCTTCTTCCTTCTGCCCACCTTCATAATGTAAGAGTCGTGCATTCCCACTCTTTCGCAAACCAGGCCGTTTTAATAGATGTGTATGACTGCAGGGGAGAGAACTTCAAGGGACTGAGTGTCAAACCTGGACAAGGATTATTGTTTGGAAGAGGGAGCTTACAAATTAGACCTGTCTGCCACCCACCCACATGTTCGCACAAATCTGAGACATCAAACACACCTGCGAATCTCTGCCTCCGGCAAGTTCTGCAACAGCCTCTCATACTCTCTCCTTCTTGCTTTCTCTTTCTTGGTCTTTCCGTGCTGTTTTTGTTCGTGATCGCTAATTACCTCATAAACTATAAACTGGTTTTCCACAGCAATCTCCTCTAATTGTGTGAGATAGACAGAATATTAGCGCAGACGGACCAGAAATAAGTCCGTTATGTAAATATTTTCAAAATATATACTGTATGTGTGTGTATTTATATATACATAATAAATATACACAGAACGCACACATATATTACGCAAACAAAACTTTTATTTTGGATGCGATTAATCGTGATTAATCGTTTGACAGCACTAATTTTAAACGGCAATTGCTGTTTAGCAATTAGTGATTTTCTCTTTTTTTTTAATTAGCATATTATATTTGAATTAGCATAATGACGTCATGCTTTTTTTTATGCTTTTTTATTTTTTTTAATTAGTCTTTAAATCACCACTGCTGCAGCCATACACTTTCAGACATCTTTGGACTTTGTGTCAGTTCTTGCGCTGTTTTTTTTGAGCGTCCTGCTACGAGTATTGCATTTTTAAGTCAGCATGAATGGAAAAATACTTTAACTTTTGAAAGCACATCTCGAGTCCCACGCATTCTGCAACTTAAGTAGTTGATTTTGTGCATTTTTTCACATTGACCCTTGATCTGCCCTGCCCAAATAATTCTCCTGAACTCTTTGTTTAATATTCTCTTTAACTTGAGAAGATTTCAGAGTTTGCAAAGGCCTGTTTTTGCAAGCCGCAGTCGGTTCTCACGTCTGAACCTCAGACTCGATTATGTCTCTCTTTGATGTTTTTGTGATAAATCTGTTCTTATTCTTCAGTTCAGAAGCTAATTACCTTCTGCCTTCTTCCCACCTTCATAATGTAAGAGTCGTGCTTTCCTGCTCTTTCGCAAACCAGGCAATTTTAATAGGTGTGTATGACTGCAGGGGAGAGAACTTCAAGGGACTGAGTGTCAAACCTGGACAAGGATTATTGTTTGGAAGAGGGAGCTTACAAATTAGACCTGTCTGCCACCCACCCACATGTTCGCACAAATCTGAGACATCAAACACACCTGCGAATCTCTGCCTCCGGCAAGTTCTGCAACAGCCTCTCATACTCTCTCCTTCTTGCTTTCTCTTTCTTGGTCTTTCCGTTCGTGATCGCTAATTACCTCATAAACTATAAACTGGTTTTCCACAGCAATCTCCTCTAATTGTGTGAGATAGACAGAATATTAGCACAGACGGACCAGAAATAAGTCCGTTTGAGACACATGTCCAATTATCCGTCCTTCTGTCAGAGATCTGACCGCACACCTCCACACACCACTTATATCAGACCTAAAACTGAGACTGCTGGTCCATGAGCCGTTTTTTGCACTTCATATGCTCTGGAACAAGATTAGATGGACTTTAGAAAGTGCTGTCAGATGAAATGTGTTCGATCTGATGAAGCATGTGTTCCTGCAGTAATCGTGGTCTTGCTGCTTGATTTAAGCTGACATGATTTCATAATGAAGGAGGAAATTCAATATCCTTATTCTGACTCCTCACACACATACACACACACACACACACACACACACACTTACTACAGTGCGGATCTGTAAAATAGCATTGTGCTCATGTGAAGAGAATTGTTTTTAAAACTAAGACAGTTAAGACCTGTTTTTGTGAATTGAAATAAATCTGAAATAAAAAAATTAATATCAAATGTATATGTTAAATATACACTCTAGAAAATGCTGGGTTAAAAAGGGACAAACCCAGCTATTGGGATGTTTTGAACCCAACCGCTGGGTCAAAACTAACAAATAGCTGGGTTTGTCCCTTTTTAACCCAGCGCTGGGTTATATTTAACCCAGCATTTTTTAGAGTGTATAAATTATACTTATATAAAACAAAAATGAGAAATGTTGCCTTGGCAATTAACTGAAAAGTAATGAACTTAAGTTGAAGTACTTAAAATGACAACTGAAATAAATACATTAAATATAATTAGAAATATTTAAAAAGAAG